TATATTGTATACGAGACGTGCCGTTTTTTCTCTTTTCCTCCTCCTCCCCCCTCGTTTCTTTTTTCTTTTTTTTCTTTTCGTTTTCTCGCGAGTCCTCGCCGACGCAACGCTCTAAGAATCTATCTACGCGTTCGGTAAAGTGAGAAGGAGATCCGATCGGGCCGACCGACTCCGCGCCCCGACTCGGCGCGTTCACCTTCTCCATCTTCTCGTCGAGTCGCTTAGTAGAAGCGGAACCGAACGTGCCGCGGTTGCAGTTGGCCCCGCTCGCGCGACTCGATGAAAACCGGGCGATCTCGGGCGGAGAGAAACGGACAAGGGTGGAAGCGGCTCGCGAGTCGCGTGGAGTCCCGGTCGCCTCGGGAACGAACGATCGGGTCGGATCGGATCTCGTTGCCCCTTCGAAATCAAGACAAATCGATCAACAGCGACGCGATCGAACACGGCTGAGAGGAGGACCTGCGGCCAGCTTTCGCAATGAATATGTTCTCGGAACGTAGCGCATCCCGTTGGTTCCTAATCGAGGAGGCATCTTACAGGAAGTCGAGTCATCCGGGGTTCTTCATAAGCTTCTTTCCGCGGTAGTCGTAGACACGTCGGCAGAACAGCACCACGTCCGACGATGCCGTTATAGGAGGCTGCCGACCCTCCCTTGGATACACTTGGTCCCCTGGCGGAACTATCAAGCCAGGACTCTCTAAACCTTCTTCGATCCTCCGTAAATTTTTACGATATCTGCAATCACAAAAGGAGGACGCGACTACATGGATGAGCAGCTCGCGGATACGGATACGCTTTGGCCCTGCTCGGAGCAGGGGCGGGGGCGGGGGGGGGGGCGGGGAGTCTTGTTTCGATTTTTGAACGCGAATCGACAAGTATATGCAACAGATAGCACGTCGCTGATAGGCGACGTGTCGATTTATTATTGCCAGCTCGCAGAGCACGTTCGCGACATTTCTCCTTGGAATTTATTCTACGCTCACAGGGCACACTCGAGTAAATGAAAGCCCATCGCCACACGATGGATTTACTCACCGACAGTACTCGTTAAACGTTAGGACATAACATTTGTCTTCTATGCAAGCGACGCTGTTTGCATCTCGATGACGCGAAGCAAACACCTCGTCCTCGGTGTCGTACTCTGTCCGACCCTGTTCCGTGTGCTCGGGCCGGTAATACCACAGCAGCGAAAACATCATTTCGCCTGAACGAGAACACAGAGAGAGAGAGAGAGAGATATATATATATATATAAAGTGTGTGTGTGTGTGTGCGATGATAGACTGGCGTCGAGTCCAAAGGAGCATCATCGCTCGTGTTGTCGCGCTATCGAGGATGCGGCGGATTAAAGAAGGCATCCCTTCCGCCCCGGGCTCGTCTTCTCCGGTTTCATTTTATTATCGTACGCATGGAGGAGCACCGCCGCGAGTGCGAGTGCACTCGAGAATGCCTTTCTTTGACCCGCCGCCGTGTGTCCGTTGTCACTGAATCCGCGCGACGTATACCTACCATCGTCCGGATTTTCCCAGAGGGTGGCGATTTTCGCTACAAACGGCAGATCGACCCTGCGCGGGCCGCTCTTCAGCAACACGCAGTCCAGGGGCCTCAGCACGTCTCCGCTCTCGTGCCTCATGCTCGCGTAACAGCGCCGTGTCGCGTACTCCTCGTTCTAGAATGAGACATTTTCACTTGACGACGAGCGATCTTCGACATCCGATCGGAGTTGAGCGAAAAGAGAAAAGCAAGGCCTCTCGTAACTGTTGGAAATTCTGAAAAATCTCCACCTTTGCGGGAATGAACGAGTACGCGTGAACTCAATAACGCAGGTATTTCTGTACCGGCTGAAAAGTGGCTTTGGGGTGTAGAGAGGCGCGCTCTTTTCAAAGCAAATATAATTTTTCATATTTTTATCGAAACTCCCGAAATGAAAAAAAGAAAAAAAAGAAACGAAAAAGAATTGAAATAACGTTGAATATGAAATTGAATGGCATTTAATCCTCTTCGTGTGGAAATTCCATTTCCCCAAATTCTTCATCACGCGTCGTTTATAGGATTTAAAAAAATGCCATTAAATTTTATTATATTCCCCTTCAGACTTCAGGAATATATCACCAAAAACATGAGGAACTGTATTCTCAATTTGCGTGGGAAATGTCTTTAGCCCTGAAACCGATTCTCAGCTGGAACAGGAGATAGTCACAGGCTTCTTATTGATGTACTCCTCCTCCTCCTCCTCATGAAAGTTTTCTCTTTTTTCGTTTGTAAGAATTCGCGGGTCGTGGACGTTTTCCTCGTCAGTCACGAGCGAACCGACCGACTTACTCCAAGGACTACTCCTTACCGTTAGATACACCCTGCTCTCGATAGGCTCGCCCTCCCAACTCCAGCCGTTGCTCCAGCGCGGTTTCAGGAAGAGCCTTTTCGTTAACGCCAGGCTCTCGTTGGCGGTCGAGGGGTTCTCCATCTTGCCGCCGGACGTTTGCTTCTTCACGCCCGCTTTCTTCGCGTTCTTCCGCTTCTTCTTGTTGTTCGCGGCCAATTTCCTCGGGTCATCGGGTACGATGTCGACCGACTTGGCCTTCGACAAGACGGCGTCGACGCGCTTCTTGGACGCGTCCCTCGTCTTGGCGTCCTGCGTCCTGGACTTGGTCTCTTGGGCCTTGGTCTCGACGGTTTTACCGCCCTTGCCTTTGCCTTTGTTCCTCGCGACCTCCTGCGACGTCGACAGCTTAGACTTCGATCTCGCGTCCGTTTTACCCTTGGTCTGGCCGTTCCTCGCGGTCACCTTCGTCGGCTGCTTCTCGAGCGTTGGCGGCTCCTTCGGCGGCTCCGTGTTCTTCTTCGCGTTCTTCTTCAGCGTCAACGGCGGTGGTGGCGGCGGCGGCGGCGGCGGCGGTGGCGGCGGCGGCGGCGGCGGCGGCGGCAGCGCCAGCGGTGGCGGCGGGTCGAGGTCGAGCTTCCTCTTCTTGTCCGCGCGCTCGCAGTTCTTACTCTTGCGCTCCTTCCTCTGCGTCATCTGCAGGCTCTGCTGTATCACATTGTCGATAGTCTCCATGATCGAGGTGTCGCTGGCGGCCTGTCTGCCCGTGCAACAGTTGACCGTGCAATTGCTCATACTCTGCTTACCGGTTCTCGCTTTCTTCGCTGCATTCTCGGACGCGCTCGGGCCCTCCGCCTTGCGCTTGCTCTTGTCTTGCTTCTGCAGCTCTTTCTTCGCCTGCTTCTTCTTCGGGGCGCTCGCCTCCACCGTCCTCACGCTGTCGATCTTGCTCGGCAACGGTTCGATCGGCGCGACGATCTTCGCCGGCGGCTGCTCGTTGTCCACGTTGTTGTTGTCCTGCGACGAACCGACCGACAGAGCTCGCTTGCTCGTCTTCCTCTTCTTCCTGCTGTCCGACAAGCTGTCCAACGAGAGCTTCCTCTTCGTCACCTTCTGACACCTCGGCTGCTCCTCGGCTTCGACCACCGGCGGCGCCTCCGCCACCGCCTCCTCCTCTTCCTCCTCTTCCTCCTCTGGATCCTCCTCTTCCCGCTTGTCGTCGACCGTCTCCCGTACGGTCGGCTCGTAGTCGGGCTTCTTCCAGTTCTCATTCTCGATCACCACCACGTCGAGCTCCTCCTTGACGTTGGGGTCGCCGTCGAGCTTCTCGTCCAGCACGATGCCGGGGTTCTTGTCGAGCTCCAGGACGATCCCGCCCTCCTTCATGCACTGCTCGCACTTCATGATGTCGCACTTGTAGTCCGCCGACTCGCACTTGACGTTGCAGTTGGCGACGCACGGCAACCCGTCGCCGAGCTCCATGCTGCAGGACTCGCATTTCACGTTGTTGTTCTCCATCTTGAAGTTGTGGTACTTGCTGCCGGGACAGCTCGCCGCCACCGACAGTTTCTCAGTGGGCGACAGCGTCTCCACCTTGACCTCGCAGGTAGACGTGCACGCGTGTTTCTGGCAAGCGCACTTTCTTATCTTGTCCTCCGTACAATTTTTCTCGTCCTGCGGGAGTGGCAGAAAGGAAATTCGCCGGGTTATGTAACCTCCAGCACATCGCTCGCGGTAAATCTACGAATTCGCGGCGAGCGGGTGAGTGAATGACTCGAGTGAGCGAGAGAGAAGGAAGGAGAGAGAGAGAGAGAGAGAGAGAGAGAAAAAGAGAGAGAAAGGTCCTCCCGAGCCTCGAAAGGCCGTGCGAGCTTTCGCGACTTTGCAATCGTTTGACTCTACTCGAACGTTTCATAGCGCGCGCGTTCAGGCCGTCGAAGGCGACACGCGAGCTCTATCCGGCGAAATCTGTCCGACAAATTTACAATGCCTTGTTCAGGCTGACAGAATCACCGGTGGTATGGTGCACCTGACAGGGTGCACCTGAAAAGCCACATAACGCGACGGTGTTCTCTCTCTGTATCGTTCTGCTTTTCCGGGCGACTTATCCTCGGCCGAAACGGTCGCTCGGGAACTCAACGTGGTCGCGCTCGCGAAGCATCGCGAAGCTTATCGCGCGAAGCTTATCGGGAGACGAACGCTGAAATAATAAAAGCTGAAGCGTTTTCTTGAATCAGCGATGCGCTCCTTTCGTATCGAGACGCCCGAGAGTCGCGGGAATCGAGGACGCTCCGAAGGCGCGAATTTCGCCGAGGAAACATCGTCCGTCGCGATTGCGATCTCCGCTCGTACACTGATCGGCAAGATATAGCCGTGGCACGCAAGCTCCCAGGGCTTAGCAAGTAACTTGTCAAGCTTTCCTAGCCTAGCGTCGGCCTCGTTGCCTTATCGCGCATCGATTGATCGGCCATCGATTAACTCAGCGAGAAGCCACGTCCGTAGTTTCACGTCAGAGTCGCGAAACGAGCGGCTCGGCTACGAAGAGTGCCGAGAGTGCAGTGCGTGCCAAGGCTACTCCCGCCGGCAGGTGTATGTACATCCACCACACACGATCTAAAACGCGGCCGGCGCGCTCTCGCGACCAGCTCGCAGCTCCTGAATCGTCGGCTCGGGATTGGCTTGGCGAAAGTCAAAGCGCGCGCGGGCGAGTCGCGATCGGGAAACAGGCGAGTATGGGCTCATGCGAGAGTCTGACACACACACACGCACACACGCACACGCACGCGCACACACACACACACACATACACGCACACGCATGCACGCACATAGGCATACACGCACCTTACTACTACTTCTACAGTCTTGGCCCTGAGGGCGACTGTGAGGCCCACCGACCAGGTTGTGCGACGGCGGGACCGAAGTCGGCTGGTTCTGATTCAGGTTGCGGTGCGATGCGTTGAGTTGGACGCGTTCCGTATCCCAGGCGTTGGCACCGTGAGGGGGCGCAAGCCCGGCTAACCCCCTCGCCGGCGAGGGCGGACCTACCAAAGCACTGGGTGGCAATGACGGACCGGTCCCCGATATCACTGGCGCTCCCTTACCATTACCAATAAGGGCCCCAGTATCCACGTTTTTTGGACACGATTGCATCGGGCATGGACATCCTTGAAAGGCTGCGTCGCCAAGGAAAAGAGTCTCGGTGAATTTCTTTTTTCCTGCCTGGCACACGCGAGGCGCTGTCTGCTCGCGGCCGCCGGCCCTCCCTCCCTCCCTCCCTCCCTCCCTCCTTCCTTCCTTCCTTCCTTCCTCGTCCCTCTTTCGCCGGCGAAGGAAGGAAGGTAAGAGTTCGTAATCTCGTCTCCGCTGATGTTTGCGAGTTTCTCAAAGAGCGAATGCGTTCTTTGTTCTCGTCCTATCTTCTCGCGATTGTCCTCTCCCTCTCGCGCTCTTTTATTTTATGTTATTTTAACCCTCTCGCCGCGGCGGGCTCGAAAGCGAAAGCCTACGGGAGAAATGGAAAAGACAAGCCGACGGGATATCCGGCTCGCCGATATTCGTTGATGTTGCGCGACGAGAACGTTGAAAATAGTCTCGACTGCGAGGCGAAATTTATCGGGCGCGCGCATGCTCTCGCGTCTTTCGCAAACGAGCGGTCGTTTCTTCGGAGAAAACGAGTACGTTCTTCGCGGCGAAAGGACTGATATCGCATATTGTTTTATTGCGAAGTGTTCATTCTCCGCGTTTCCAAGCCGGCCTTTCGCCCGGCGGACCGTTATCCTGTTCTCTTATCGCCGTGCCGTAGATAAGATTTTTCAAACTTTCCTAAACGCGACCGTAGATCAACCGCAGCGAGCGTCTCTATCGAGAAGCGATCGCGACTCGCGTCGCGGTCGAATTTCCACCGATGATTCCGCGTTCGACGATACGTCAGCGAGCAAAAAAAAAGGAAAATTATCGCGGCCGTATTTATTACTCGCGACGCGGAGGACGGGAGGAACGCACATCGCCGCGAGATCTCTCGGACTTTCGCGCTACCTCGTCGTCGTCGTCGTCTCAGGACAAACGGAAGGAGAGATACAATTCTTACGGGACATTGAACATCGTGCGGCGGAGGACTATTTGCGACTGAGTGCAGTCGCGCACAAACGAAAAACGAGAGTAAGACAAGTTTTCCCTCCCCTCGCTTTCGCCTTTTTACGTGTCATGCGTTATGCGTTACCTGCGAAAGACGAAAATACCTGAGTCGTCCACTCAAGTCCTTTCTCTTTTCAATTTCGAGTTTGCAAGGCAAAAATCATGAGGGATCTCTTAGGTTACGAAACGTCCTCTTCTTTCGTTCACGGAGCCTTGACGTCATTTGACGGGAACGCTCCCTAAGCGGCTCTTTGACCTTAACCCTTGACGCGACGGAAATTTTCCAATTCACGGCTCAGGTAAGCCTGACCTTCGCTTTCGGTCTTGGGCATTATTATATTGTCACGTCGATCGCTTCTATCTCAGACTCATCGGACTGAGAACAATTGTCACAATAACGACGACAACGACGACGAGGAGCGAAGCGCAAGAGCGACCGTGACGCGCCGCCGCACAATGGGGCCAGATGACATTTTTTTGGTTGAAAATTCTCTAGAGACCTGAATTTCCAACCGATCATCGACACCAATGGGATAAGGTTGATCCTGAATAAATTCCAAAGAAATTCGTCCAGCCGAAATTTTGAAGAAATTACCGCTTCAGGGTTCATGGGTTTAGGGAGATTGTCTTAAAAGTTTATCGTTTAAAGTACCAGTGTCTTGGGTCTAGCTATGGCTAGATTGGGTTCTTGGATTATTTGGGGCTCTTCGTGCATCCAGCACGAGCTAAAAAGTTCTCGGATTGATAGATTCCTAGGTTGATGGGCTTAAGACTCAAAATCCCTCGGTTTTGTGCTCAACGGGTCTATATTTGACGTTTTTGTGCATTTTTGGGCATATGAGTTTTGGGTTAATGGATTTCTGATTCAAGATCGATCAATCTCGGAGGTATCTGTTGATTGGTTTCATACTTTCAATCCGCTGAATACGCTGGTAGATACTATAGAAATAAGTGTCGAATAATGAGCATTTCACAAGTTTCTCGCGTTTAACGATAATTTTTCCTCTTTCCGGGCTAGTAATTCGAGAAAAAAAATTTTTTTCTATTTTGGCAAGACAGATTTCTCTTCGGGATTTATTCAGGATCAACCTTGTCCCATTGGTGTATCGATGATCGGTTGGAAATTCAGGTCTCTAGAGAATTTGGAGCCAAAGAATGTCATCTGGTCCCACTGTGCGCCGGGTCGGCGAATCTGACATTACGCTTCTTGCGGCAACGATAATTGCGTTAACGGAGCGCACGATAATACGACGCGAGGTGTGTACCGTTACCGCCGCATGTCTCTGGAATGCTGATTTCCCGAATAACAAGAGGCGTCCTCGCGTGGCTCGCGCGCGATTTCCATTCTCGTCGGCGATTTTCCGCGCTTCTGCTGACCGACGCGGTCATTCGGTTCGCGATTGTGCCGAGCGATCAGAATGAATCGTCCATCATCGAACAGCGACGAAAGGCGCTAATTTGCCGAGCGATTCTAACGACATGTCGCGTTAGCGCAATTTTCGCGGTGCACACGCGCGTTTCAGAGCGAAATTTCGACAACGAGGAAATCGGACAATTTGGGGCGGAAGTTACACAAACTCCGACTCGTGGTGGTAAATAATATTTCGTCAGGCACGAACGGAGGAAAATATTTTCGCCGCAGCCAGGACTCGAACCCAGCTGCAGCGCCGGTCTGTCGTGTCCTTTCTGGGGTCGAGCGCTTTGTCTGCTCGGTCACAGGGACACAATAATTGCCCGTCTCTCCTGAACGAGCCATGAGGGTGAGAGAGAGTGAGTGAATGAGCGAGAGAGAGAGAGGGGGGGCTCGTTGAAAACGCGTCGACTTGTGCCCGGAAATCACCTCGGAGTAAACCTGTGAAAGAACCGAAAACCTTCCTCCAAAATCAGGACTCGCGGGCGACTGATTCCGCTTGCTCGAGAACCTCGCGAGCGACGGCGCGAGTTGCCCGAAAACGGGAATTACCAAATCTCCTCGCAGCCGTTTCCCTTCGCCGCTCGACGAGAAAACAATTCGAGACGATCGAACAAACTTACTCAAGATCGCCGATTCGAGCCGAGAGACTTGGCGACTCGCGTTGAAATTAGCGACTCGTCGCGCCGCGACAGAATCATCCCTCCTTCGACGGACGAATTCCGAGGGGAGCTCCGGGCACAAAGCAGTCGTGTTCTCACACGTCGTGTGAGCATTCCCCAATTTTCTATCTCAGGGACAGTCGTACGCCTCTCGCCGCTGCGGGGCGGGGAAGGAGTACTGGCGCAGAGACGAGAGAGAGGAGAGAGGAGAGAGAGAGAGAGAGAGAGAGAGAAAGCAGATACTTACGGTCTACGAAAGGTCTTCCCTGAGAATGCAGATATGCCGGGTTCGGTGGAGGCGGCGGCGGCGGAGGGGGCGGGGGGTATCCCCCGTAATAATGTGGCAGGGGATATTCGCCGGGCGGCGGCGGCGGCTGATAATCAACGACTCCAGGGGCACCCCCGGCGGCCCCGCTGCCAGGCGGCCCGCCTCCCCCACCGGACTCTTGATAGCCATAGTATTGCCTGCAAAGATATTTTTCCTTACGGAGTGCGCAGCGTGTCTCTCGGTGAAAGTCGCGAAAATGCGCGGACGCGGGAGGAGCGTGACGAAAAAACCAGGCTGGAGAATTGAATCTGAGGACGCGGGAAAACCGGCGCGCCAACGACGAGCGGAAAGGCCGACCTGCGGCGGGAGCTTCGCAGGACGAACTTCCGGCTCCGAGTCGTCGGACATTTCGGCCGACCGAACGTGACGCGATGCCTCGAGCGCGAATAAGGCGAAGATCAGCGCCGCAGAGCAATTCCTGAAGAGGAATCCCTGCCTCGTCTGAGTCGCGGTGAAACTTGTCGAGATTTTCGGCCGGTCCGCCGCGCCGCGCCGCGGCGGTAAGAATTATCGGACCGAGACCTTACGGTAAACTCAACACGGCGCGGAGTGTCGAGGAAGCCAGAAGCGGAAACGACGAGAAAAGAAATCTCGAGGCAACCGGAGCACTTCTGAAACTTCGCGATCCTCCCTTCTTCACTCGCCTCGTTCGTGTTGTCTCGACACGACAAAAAGAAAGAGAATGAGAGACAGAGAGAGAGAGAGAGAGAGAGAAAGAGAGAGAGAGAGAGAGAGAGAGGCGCGTAATCGCGCATAAACGGCGGTCTCTTACCTTCTGTAGGGCGCGTATTTGTAGTAATGCGGCGGATGAGGGTGAGGATGCGAATACGTCGGCGGGTAACACAGCTCCGGATACTGCGGCGGCGTGCCGTAGTACTGCGGGCAATATGCCCTATAAAAGCCTCCACCTGTAACAAACGATCGTTCATTCATCTGGCTCGCGTTGGAAATCCCGTCGTCGACGGGAGCGCGACGGGCCGTTGCTTGCGCGGCCTCGAAAGCCGCGCGCGAATCAATTCCGCCGGTGTCCGAATTTCCATCCGGGCCGCGCGTATCGCGAGAAATATCGTCGATTCGGACGATTCGAGTCGTTCGCCAACGCGCCGCGGCCCTCCTCCGCACGAGCGCTGTGATGATCGAATCCCCCCGCCGATGCGAGCCGTCGCACAGTGGGGCCAGATGACATTCTTTGGTTCCAAATTCTCTAGAGACCTGAATTTCCAACCGATCATCGATACACCAATGGGACAAGGTTGATCCTGAATAAATCCCGAAGAGAGATCTGTCTTGCCAGAATAGAAAAAAATTTTTTTTCTCGAATTACTAGCCCGAAGAGAGGAAAAATTATCGTTAAACGCGAGAAACTTGTGAAATGCTCATTATTCGACACTTATTTCTATAATATCTAACAGCGTATTCAGCGGATTGAAAGTATGAAGCCAATCAACAGATACCTCCGAGATTGATCGATCTTGAATCAGAAATCCATTAACCCAAAACTCATATGCCCAAAAATGCACAAAAACGTCAAATATAGACCCGTTGAGCACAAAACCGAGGGATTTTGAGTCTTAAGCCCATCAACCTAGGAATCTACCAATCCGAGAACTTTTTAGCTCGTGCTGGATGCACGAAGCCGTTGTATATATTAAGAGCCCCAAATAGCCCAAGAACTCAATCTAGCTATAGCTAGACCCAAGACACTGGTACTTTAAACGACAAACTTTTAAGACAATCTCCCTAAACCCATGAATTTTCTGAACCGATAATTTTTTCAAAATTTCAGCTGGACCGATCTCTTTGGAATTTATTCAGGATCAACCTCATCCATTGGTGTCGACGATCGCTTGGAAATTCAGGTTTCTGGAAAATTTTCAACCAAAAAATGTCACCTGGCTCCACTGTGCGTCGCGGCCATCACCGGGGAAATTATTCTCCCCCGGTGTGACTGATCGACTCCGTTGCGATCCCGCAACGGAGGAGGTGAAAGGCAGCCGTCGAAACGACGCGACGCGACGCGCAGCGGAGCGATTAGCGCGAACGAACCCGAGTTCCTTTTCCTTTTTTGTTTTTTCGCAATTGCGTCGTAATTGTGACAAATCGATTATGTCGTCCACTCGACGGTATCGCGTCGGATGTCGCGCACGCACGCGAGGCTCAATAAATACCCGCCAATAACGAAGAACCGTCGCGTATCCGTCCCTGATAATGCCGGCTATCAGTGACGTTTTCTCCGGAGTAATCTTCGCGCGCGTGAATGTGTCGTATCGACACACACTCACACACGTACACACGCATGTGTCGCATGTACGCGCGGCTGTGTACGTGGCGACGATATCGACACGGCGCTCAAAGGTAGCGAGAGAGAGAGAGAGAGAGAGAGGGAGAGAGAGAGAGAGGGAGAGAGAGGGAGAGAGTGCTATATTATCGAACACGCTGATATCTCCGTCCAATTAACTCGTGAGTGCTCGCGCTATTAGCCATGCGAGCTCTCGCGCCAATGCACTCCGTGATTTAGAGAGACGGCTTATTACACGCTAATATCTATAATACCGCGCCCGGGCATGCGCGACACGCTGTTTGCGGACGCTGAAACTCGCGGGAAAAATACGCTCTCACGGCTTCATCGCGCGCGCGAGCGAGAGCGAGAGCCGAGCGGGCCTCCTCTCTCCGTAAGGTCGGAACGTAACGGGAGAGTTTCCGAGTCGGCTTGTATTCCACATTCGGCCGGTCTCGACGAATAACTCGGGGGAGCGTCGTCTCTCGTCGTCGGCGAAGACGAGAGGATGAATAATCGAGGGGGCGCGACGGTGAAAGTGCGGAAAGGTGAGACGCGGAAATAACGAATCGCGAGCGGCGCTCTTGTGCGCGCCCCACTTACGTCGATATAACACTCACAAACTTAATATCTCGCACACGTTCGCGCTCATTAATGCACGGCCGGCACGGTTAATCGCGTCGCGTTTACACGATAAAATCATTAATGCAAACGCGAGATCTGCGATAGCGCGCCCCGGCACAGCGCGGCGCGGCGACGTTCGCCGGAACGGCAGATCCGTCCGATAAGACGGACTAACGAAATCCGAGAGCGACGTGTAAAGTACACACAGAGAGGGCCCCCTCCCCCCCCCTCCCCGTGTCTCTCCCGAAAGCGACGCGAGATTTAGTAGATCCCGGGGGTCCAGCGCGGCTTCTGGAACATCGCCGCGAGGTGCCGCGTAATTTGAGAAAAATTTTCAAAATACGCGCGGGAGGGAGGTGCGAGTTCCGCTCGAGGGAGAAATTCCGAAACTGCTGAAACGATCGAAACTTCAGCGAAACTTTATCGAAAATCACTGAGGAGTAATTCTGTCGTCTCGGCGCGAGAAAAGTGCGCCGGCGTGCGAGAAACGCGCGACACCCGCGAGGCGCGTCCTTCTCCTCCTCCTTGGAGGGGGGAGAAGGAAGAATGTACGCGAAGAGAAGAGGAGCGCGCTCGCGGCTTCTCCGCGGCCATTATCGCGTGTTCAATTTAATTATCAGCGACATACCCGTGCTGCTCGTGCCGCCGGAGGTCGTGGAGGTCGCCACCAAGTCGTCGGAGCCCTCTGAATTTTGCGGAGGCGTGGGCGTCGGTTCCGGAGGTGGACCTTTAACGGGCGGTAAGGTAGGCGGGTGCTGTATCAGTGGACCAGCCGGCTGATAATACCCTGCGAACAAAAGAGCAACGTGTGCATTTTCCTCCGTACTGATCGCGCGCGCGCGCGCGCGTCCTTCACTCGCTAATTTTCGATATTGCCTTGTAAACCCTCTCTCGGGCGCGCGCGTGCTCACCGCGTCGGTCCTCGTTGGCCGAGGTATCTCCGCACGATAAAATTTAGCTAGCTTAATAATAGAAGTACGAGAATAGCAATCGCGCGGTTGCGACTTGCGCGAATTCTCTCGATACGATATCGAGTCATCGAGCTGCGCCTGACGGGCGGGCTGAAATTTTTATCCCACGGCTGGGATGTAACTTCCAAATTTAGGCCGACACTCGCCGGAGAAAAAGAGAGAAATACGGAGAGACGGAGAGAAAGAGAAAGAGAGAGAGAGAGAGAGAGAGAGAGAAAGAGAGAAAGGGAGAGACCGAACGCGCCAAAGTTGCAGCGAGCGGAAGCGTCCGAGAGACGTCCGAGATACTTTTGACGATCTAAAACCGACGGAAGGTGTATCTTGAGCCTCAAACGTTGCACAGGTCTCTCCGATTGTCAAGCCGAAGTGAGACGTGAGAAGAAACGACACTTGGCATTAAGAAGGGTGGAGTACTCGGATTCGCTTATTAGGAATATTCCGTTGTGCGCGGCCCAGAAGTATCGGCGATCGTTCGGTTTCCGCGGCATTATCGGCCGTATCGGACTTGAAGAGACCGCAGATAAGAGAAACGGAGATTACGCGGTCCCGCGGTCTCTCGAGCGCGTGGAAAAACGTCGCGACGCGTCAACAGCGGAGCGGCGAGAATCGCGCGTCGCGTCCGATTGGATAATGCCGAGGCGTTGCACTCGTACAGTTTATAACCGTGGGAGCGCCAATAAGTCTCGTCGAGAGTCCACGTGAGCGCGTTTTCCGGCCTACGCTTCTCGCACGAAAAGCAAAGCCGAGCGCGCGCGCGCGCGCGCGCTGCACACACAGCTTGCGTCCTCTTGTTTTTCTTCTTTCAAACGGCGCGCGGCGGACGAACGAAACCGGCTTTCTCCGCGCGCGAGAAGCGCGCCGACGAGACCGCGAGACGCGGTGCATATCGATTATCTGAAAGATCGCTCGCCATTTGCTTCGCCCAATCACGATTCCACTTTATGTAGGTTAAACGCGCCTCGCGCTCACGCACGCCGCCGAGAGAAACAGAGAGACAGAGAGACAGAGACAGAGACAGAGAGAGAGAGAGAGAGAGAGAGAGAGAGAGAGATGGGTGCAGCATCCGCGACTCGCGGAGCAACTCTGCGATTCCCGAGCGAAGGACAAAGCGCTCGCGGGGCGTCTCCTCTTGCCGGTGTCTCTGTCAGCGCCGTCAATCCGCTTTGCGCGCTGAATTATTAGAGAATATTAATCGCGAAAAATTGCTGAGGTCGCACGGCGAGGGTCGCCGTTCGGAGCGCCGCGCTCTGGAATTCGAGGTCGTCATCGGCGGCAGCAGCGGCGGCGGCGGCGGCGACGGCGGCGGCGATGCACTGCGCTCGCCGTTCGCGACAACTTGTCGATAACTAATTGCGAGTAATTATATGCGATAAAGATAATAATAGCGCGCGTTAATTGGGAGTAAGAGCGATGATAAACGGAAGAGAGGGGCGGCGATAATTAAGCGCGTCCGAGAGAGAGAGAGAGAGAGATACCGACAAAGGGATACTGATAAATTTGTGGAGCGAGGCGGGTTCCTCGCGCAGCAGATCCTTCGACGGCTTCCGGGTCGAAATATCGGCTGCAATTTGCAACCTTATAAATTCCCTCCAACTGAGAGGACATGCGCTGCATCGGCTGTATTATCTTATCTCGATGCGATACACAGTTACTTAACAGCGCTTTATTCGCGCTGAAGAATTTGCTGAAAATCTGTCCTCAAGGATAATTCAGAGATACTGACGAAAATTGGTTTTACGTTTTCAAAGGACACGTTTAAGTTTACTTAATATTCGGTTATCTTAGCGCGCGCGCACGCAATAAGCATCATGCATAAGGATGAGTAAAATCACAAATCTTGCTTCGGCATCTCTTTATTATTTATTTCCTTTCCATCGTCCTTGTGTATAAAATATATAGATGAAAAAAAAAAAATATATATATATATATACACATATAATTTATTAGCGACGCGGCACTGCCGCGCCGCCGCTTGATGCACGTAGAAACGCATGATGTATCGCTGCTCACGTCCTGGCTTTCCGTTCCAGCATCCTGCTCCTGGCGGCCCCGTCATGGCGCACCGGATAGTAACTCACGGGACTGACGCCCGCGTGGCCACGGCTCGATCGGAGAAACTCCTGCTAATTAACGCCGACGTCGACGAGGATCCGGCTCATCACCTCGACAGCCGGCCAGACGTTTCGCGGAGGATGCGCGGCGCGGCGCGGCGCAACGCTCTCGCCCTTGCTGGGGCGAAGAAGGTAAACAAACGCGCGCGACGATACCGAGAAACAATCAGCGTGAGGAATGTTTACCCCCGCCTCCTGTGATCAATTACTCGGGCGTCGACATAAGACGCCGCAAGATCGCAATGAAAACAATTCGGACCTTCGCGGAGGAAGCACTCGTGCGCAGACCGGCGTAAGGACATTAACATCCGGTACAAGGTTACTAGCGTCAGCTGGTCGTACGAATTTCTTCGTAGACATCAGCATAAGGCTACCGCCGCGACGAACGCGCCGGGATCGTTGCCTCTACTTTGAAGAATCGACGAGTGACAAATCAGTTTTGCGTGCGATTGAAAAATCCGAGTAGCCCGCGAAATGTTAAGGCTGCTCTTACGCGTCGGTTCCTTCGCGAATCTCTCGTTGCCCGCGGGTGCGACTGAAACATTCCGTCGACTCCTTTGGAGGGCTTAATTGGACTTTCAACATTAGCGTCGCGTCTTCAATCGAACGCGAGTGTTGGTGTTAGTGCCAGTGCTATGAAGGAGCAACCAGGATGCCGGGTTGAGCAGCCAGGACGCAGGTCGCAGGACGACGGTCGCGGCACGTGGTCGTGCACTTTCAAGGTATGTTGAATCTCTTGTCACTCGAGTTTTCGTTTCCGCCGGAGGTTTGGAGGACGAGAATAAAACGCCCGAGTCGAAATTTAAGCCGACGCTCTCGTAGTCTGTCGTCATTCGACGAATAATTTCAGCTTCATTAATCTACGATTATTCGTCCATCTGTATTTGTGTACTCGTTACGTTATTTCGCGGTGCAAAAAACCCGCCGATCGAAACGGCCTGTGAATGCGAACGCGTGATTAATTATGCCTGTCCGATGACTGAAAGATGGTAAACAATTTACAGCTACGAGCGTCGGCCTTAGGATTTAACGTAATTGCTGATTTTTGCGTCCAATAATGCTCTTCGATAATGTCTCTCGTCGATGTTTACTTGGCCGTCGATTATTGCGGCCACGGAGTCCAAATTTCATTGTCTATTAGCAAACACACACACGCAGCATTATTGAGCACATAACTGTTATCTTTTAACAGCTTTTTCTCAGCTCCTTCAAGAATTTCCGACTGCCAAGGTCAGAAGAGAAAAGATTATGAGAATAAAAACTTGTTTTCTTTATTCATTTACCCACCGATTAACCCCTGTTGGATTATTTACTACTCGTTTGTCTCACATAATTCTGTTTGTGTAGCCGAGTGCTCGCTCGACTAATACAATTAACGATCAATTGCCGATTGACAACGGAGAATAAAGGCCGCGGCTGGAGAATATGAAGAAAATCGAGCGTGAAATAATTGGGGAGGAAATCTTTTCCTACGGCTTAGCGCCGGATAATAACAGAGTACAATAATAATAATAATAATAATAATGAAAAACATCGCATAAACGAGTATTAAATAATCTTTGAACGAACTCGTGCTTTTCGAGCTTCTTCGACGTACGGTAGAAAACGGTGGCGAAAAACCGTTTTCGCATCATCAAGGTAAGTCGATGATGTCGGTACGTATCTGTTTATTTGTCCTTCGAGTTTGACTCGAGGGGAACTCGCGGGACGAATACAGAACTGAAACTTCGACTCGGACTGTGCGAAGCGCTCGTCATGCCACACCTGATTGCGATTGCGCGACGGAGTTGATTGCGCGCGCGGCTCATTTATTCATCGGCACTTTGCGGCGTTCGGAAAAACGCAATTATTCCACCGACACGTGTAGACAGGCTACGAATCGAGTATCCGGAGCATCGAAAGGCCAAAGTTGAAGGAACGAGTGTTGCTCTTTCTCCCTCACACACTCACGGGCTTGCTGTCCCCTCTGTGAGTGACGTCACACGACAATCGATACACTACTACTTGCGCCGCACCGCGATACGCAAGTGCCGAATCTGCCGGCGAATTCATGAAGCATTTAATACGACGACGTTTCGCGACGATCGTTGCAGATTTTCGCAATCTCGCCGCGGGGAGATAAACGAGGGAGCGAGAGAGGGAGAGGGAGAGGGAGAGGGAGAAAAAGAGAAAGAGAAACCACCGCGCGCGCGCGCGCGCGCAAACAACTCCTATCGAAGCGTATAAAACTCTCTCGCGCAGGAAACCGCCGCGTCGCGGATTCTGTTTTCTTTTCTCTAATTGTGAATTACGGCGTAACGAGCCGCGACTAATTGTATACGCACGCTTTGCGCCGTAAAAGCCCGGCGAGCACGTCGCGCGTTCGCCTCTCCTTTGAATTTGATAAGTAAAGTACGACTTGGCGGCGAGTTCCATGGAAAAGAAGCGAATAAAAAAAAAGAGGAAAGAGGAGGGGGGGGGGAAGTGGAAACGTTCCCGCGCGGGAGGTAACACCGCGACCTCCCGACCTTCCTGCGGAGAACGCGGGGAAAATCCTCGATCTTGCGCCACCAATTAGAGATCGCAGCTGGAGCGCGAATTTCCCAAACGACGGCTTCGGCGAATGAAGCTTTTTAATAAGCACGAATTAGGTTATAGCGACTCGACGAGAGTCCTTCGCTAAATCGCCTGCTCGCGCGCGCGCGCGATTCCGCTGCCGACACTTT